GGATTTATTTGGACTCATTTGTACAGCCAGCCTATTTGGAAAGACCTTTGGATATGTGATTGTAAATGATTTTTTTTTTAGATTCACCTGGGTTAGATTCCTAACACATATAAGTGATTCATTTGAGGAATTTAGAAATTTCTCCACTTGGATACAAAGAAAATTAGAATGTGAAATATTGACTATTCATTGTGATCATGGTAGAGAATTTAAAAATGATAGGTTTGAATAGTTCTGTAAGGGGTAAGGTATATAAAATAAATTTCTAGCCCCTAAAATCCCTTAGCAAAATAGGGTAGCTAAAAAAAAGAATAGAACCCTAGTAGAAGTATAGCCATATTAGCAGAATATTAACTTCCTATATTTCTGGTTAGAATCAATTAACACTACTTGTTATGTTTGAACAGGTTAAATCTTATATCCAAACTTAATAAGACTCCCTTTGAACTACTTAAGGGCAGAACACCCGATTTGTCTTATCTTCACGTCTTTGGATGTCATTGCTTCATTTTAAAAAATAGAAAATTCCCACTAGAAAAATTTGACCCTAAGTTTGTTGAAGGAGTTTTCCTAGATTATTCTTTTGTATGTAAAGCCTAAAGAGTTTTCAATAAAAGGACTTTAGTGGTAGAGGGGAGCACCCATGTAATATTTGATAAATATGATATTATGGTGAGCCTAGGTTAGAAGAAGAAGAGGATGTAGAGGTCACCTAATTAAAAATATTGTGGTTAATGTTATATTAATTTGATTAACTTATCATCACCATTTTACAATCTTTGTTTAGTTAATTTGCCTTCACATCAGGAAATAAAGTTGTTTATTTTTAAGTTATTGAAATATTTAAAAAAAAAAATTGTTAATGTTTTTTTTAAATAACCAATTTACCCCTCCCCCTGCTCTTAATGAGCATAGGGACAGTTCAACGAGGTTTAACACCCTCCATTAAACTTTTAGAACTTGGTAAAACATGGTCAACAATGGACTCAAATGGGTTCAAATTAATTCTATGATGATTATGAATAAGTTTGAATGAATTTTAAAGGTTTCCAAGGTGCTTAGACTAATATGCCATATGAGTGGCATGGATGCTAAATTTTTGAATGTTTTGGAACCATTGTGGAGGCTTTGGGATGGTGACTTCCAAAATTGTTAGAGAGACTCTTAGGACATGTATAATTAATATGTGAATGATTAAATAAAATTACAGAGTTTTGATCCATTGAAAATTCCCATAGAAAAGAAAAATTCCAAAGGGTTTATATTTGAACTGGATTTTTAATCTTGGATTTTGAACATGAATGTGATTGAATGATTGAACATGATTAAAGAATTTAAAATGATTGAAGGCTTGAATTGAGTTTGATTGAACATGATTGAAAGGCTTATTGAGCTTGAGTTTAATGATTAAATTGAAGTGATGATTGAAGTGTTGATTAAAAGTTTAATGATTGAATTATTGAGAATAATTGAATGTTTGAATAATGATTAAATATTTGAACCTTTAGAATTTACTAATCATTGAATATGAATGATTGAGGGTTTACATGATTTAATACTATTGCTAAACATAATGATTGAGTTGAATTTACTTATTGATTATTCAAGGATTGAACATGATGATTAATGTTTATTGAGATTGATTAAATTTTAAACTTTTAATTATTAACCTTATATAAAAATAAGATCAACAGAGTTCTCTATTGTACAATCCAAATATAACTTGACCTTTTCATCACCATTAGACCACCATCCCACGTTCTTCAACGATAACTCATTTATGGTGATAGACAGACATAGGGCAACCCCGCGTGTGATCGTACATGATTTCGCAGAAGAACTAAAAGTAGAGGGAGCACCTGGACAACCTCTAGCTCTTTTTTCTTATCATTACTCCTATGATGCATGGACTAAGCATTTTGCCCATTTATAATTGAAAGTTGATACCCATATTGAGGACTAACCCTTTTATTTTCTTATTTTTGGTTTATTGCATATCTTTATAAGAGCTTGGTTTGTTGAATTTTTTATTTGAGCTTAAAATATATATATAAAAATATAATTTATAAATATTTTGTTTTAAAATATTTCTTTGCTTCTACAAATTATCTTATTTTAAGCAAAATATTTAAAATTTTCAATTCATTCCCCTCTTCGTGTGCCATAGCACTATCACTGTTTAACCTTATATTTAAGCCTTGATAAAAAATAGTTCAAAACTAGTTCTTATGCTTATATATAATTCCAATGAATATTTGAACCCTATTTCCAATTTAATGGTTTAAGATTCAATACAAATAAGATTCATACAAAGTTTAAACAATGTTTGAACCTTTGCTTGAAACTTAGTTTGATTTTAATGGTCAAATGTAGGGTTCTATCTTAGATTATGATTCGAACAAATAATATGGGGCTCTAATCATCATTAAATGTTCATTTTTAAATCTAAGGTTTTATATTAGTGCTTAGATATATTGTTAGTGTATCTATCAAGTCCATCTTATCCTTTTTACTTCATACTATAATCTAAGAGGAACCCTACTATTGCAATGATTGGTGAATTCATTTTAATTTTAAATAATAATAATAAAACATAACTTGGAGGAGAAAATAATTGCTAAATACTTTGCAAGATCATTAGGGCATGACGAGTGGCAGAAAAGATGCTTATGAAGGATGACCAACGGTTCCATGGATCTTTATGAAGGATCAAAATAATGTCCAACTATATTTAATGATTATTTTCATCCCCAAGTCTTTAAAAATGAATCAAAATTGTCTATGATGAAAATATTTTTATTTATTTTTAAATATTTGAGGGACCAAAATAATCCTTTAATATAGTTGAGGACTATTTTGACCATTCACAAAGTGTCAATGAATCATTTTTATATTTCACTCTAGCACACACTCTCACTATGCAATTAGGTTAGAGAAGGACTTTAGATAATATTTCTTCAAATAAATTTAAAAATGACATACCTTTAATTTGGAGGGTATAAAATCAAAATTTTCTTTATTTTAATTACATAATACTTTTTGTTTTATCTTAAATGTATTTTGTAATATTTTTTAATAAAAGATTGTAGAATTATTGATATATCATAAAAAAAATTATGTTGATCGGGCACGAATATTGAGAGAAAATTAAGTTGGAAACATCAAAAATTAAATCAGAGACCATATGAATTCCAATTTTAGCAAACTTGCAGTTGAATTGAACGTCTCAAAAATACAAACCCAACTACACAAAATTCAACTCAATCTGAGTCCTAATGGATCTAAATCAAATACGTACCCGAGGCACATTTGAAAGTTCAAACCATAATTTGGATTACTAAACGGTTTCCAAATATAAGATGCTTATAGTTGAATCGGGTGGCTCGACGAGACAAATCCAACGAGTCTAAGATCGTCAAATTCTGATATCATTAAGACATTCAAATACTAAATAAACGATATATGATCGAGGGAATCCACATCAGTCGTTCGTTCAAACCACTCCCAATTTACCCTTGATCTTCCTCCTATTTACTGGCCATGCCACTCTCAGAAAACTATAAAGAGTCCCTCATTCTTCATTAAGAGGGGAGGAAGAAGGGACCGAAACAAAAAAAGAGAAGAGAATGAAGAGTTTTCTTGCCACCAGACTCCTCCTCGACCACATCCCAACCACCAACTAATGCCAGACTTCAGCCGTTGCCAGATTTCTATCTAATTATGAACTTTTACCCGAGCTTCTACCATATGCTAGACTTTAGCCCATTTCTTGACTTTTGCTAGTCGCCAGACTTCTCCCCATCACCAAATTTTTACCCCGACACCGGATTTCGCCTGTTGTCGGACTTCTATCCAACACTGGACTTCTGCTCGTCGTCGAACATTCGTCGGACTTCTACTGATGCTTGACTTCTGCCGGTAGCGGGATTTCTACCCGATGCTGGACTTTTGCCTGTCAACAATCCTTCCAACCTCCGTCGCACGACAATGTTTTTTCTGACCTCTGTCATCCGCCGACTACAGTCCTTCCTACCTTTGTTGCCCGCCGACTATGGTCCTTCTGACCTCCGTCGCCAGACAATGATCTTTCTGATCTCCGTAGCTTGTTGACTATGGTTTTGCCAACAAACATATTAATAGTGATTTTATCAAGTCCCATCATGTAATGCATCAAGCCAAGGCCTTCCCCCAAGGCAGTGCCTCATTTGTAATCGACTGCAAATATAGTGGTTTCATTCAAATTAGGCTAGGTCCATAGTTTTTCCCTTTTTAGGGTTTTTCACATAAAAATTTTGGTGTCTCTTATGAATGCTACACTCACTCTCTTATATGATTGCGTGTTGGAACTCCATACAAAACTAAAACGTTAAATTTTATATTTCTCTACTGCCATGAATATTACACGACACAACAATTATAATTTACAACACTATCGAAATTATAATATGTTTTAAAATTATGATATGATTTAAAATTATGATATGTTTTAAAACTTTGACGTGAACCGATCAAATGAAATGCACAAATTTAGTTTTACAATGTGGAACTTTTATTACGTTCGGTGCAAGGACGTAGAGGAACATTCGATGGGAGGCAATTTCCCGTCAAAAAACTAGGTATTTGCTCGGTACAACTAGGTATTATTTGATAATAATGAAGAATACCGTTCTTTGAAGACCAATACTGAGTTATACCGAGCTGTACCGAGAAATACCGAGTTGTACCGAGTTTTTCTGGGAAAAACTCGGTACAACTTTGGTATAACTCGGTATTTGCTTGGTAAAGCCCGATATAACTCGGTATTGGGTCTTCAAATGATGGTATTCTTCGTTATTGTTTAGTATTGCTCGGTATTTGCTCGGTGCAACTCATTTTTTGGCAGGAATTTGCCTCCGACCGGACGTACTCTACGTCCGGTCGGAGGACGTAATAATTGTTCTACAATGTGACCCTTACCTCCCCCCCTCTAAAAAAAAAAACAAAACAAAACCAATGTGACCTCTCCTCGAAATTGGGAGGCAAGAACATGAGGTCAGCGGCGCATGACATGGTCTCTTCGCGTAAAAATTAAACGCGCTTTGGGAGAGCATTTTTCTTTCTATTCGCCGCCTGGCCACGAAGCGTCTGGCTCCCACCTCTAACTCCCAAGCTGGGCTTTTGTCTACTTGCTCATCGTTTTCTCGTCAGAAAGGAAGATTCTTGAGGAAATCACTGGGAGAGAGTTAGGAAAGGAGGAGATTTCTTAATTTACTCGGGATCAGATCGAATTAGATCTTACAACCAGATCTGCAGTGCCAAGGAGAGATGGTGAAGGAGACGGATTACTACGACATATTGGGGGTCAGCCCCTTGGCCACCGAGGCTGAAATAAAGAAGGCATATTACATCAAGGTAACCCTATTATCTTATCGCCGGTAATTTGCTTCACTCATTATTGCAAGAATTAAAACTTCTGTTGGACTATAGTTTTTAACTTTGTCGTCTTCCTATGCTAAAGGTATTGTCCTGTGGCGTCTTAATTCTTTCGGCTTTTATCTCCAATGCTCTTTCTCTTTTTTCCTGTCAACTCGAGATCGCTGAAATAAGTAGATGTTGTGAAGGCTTTCTGCTAGGTCGCTCTTGACTTGCTTTGCTTGGAATTAGATGATAACTTATAGTTGCGAAATCGTAGTACATGTGTGTTTCTTGGGATCAGCTTAATGAATATGTAATGGTTTTCACATGCGGACATTTTAAAGAAGAAGAAATCTTTGCTAGATAACACAATCAACCTGCTTAGGATGTGTTTAGCTCTCTTTTCCTTTTTTCATGACCAAATTATATAAAGGAGCTAGTTTAATATATGAATAAGTAGATGAATCATGTTTTAAAAAAAGTTAAAAAAGGAGCGAAACCGAATCATAGAAATCCGGTTTCTTAAGAAATCGGGTAGCAAAAATACGGTTCAAAAAAAAAAAAAAAAAAAAAAAAAAAAAAAAAAAAAAAAAAAAACTAAAGAAGCCGGATATATATTAACCAGTTTCTTAATTAGAAAATAATAATAAAAAAAATTTTAATAACTTTTTAATAAAAATATAATACGAATCCAGTTTTTATCTTAATGATATCAAAATTGGGCAATCTTGGACTCGTTGGATTCGTCTCGTCGAGCCGCTCGATTCGACTATAAGCATGTCACATTTGGAAACCTTTTAGTTATCCAAATTATGGTTTGAACCTTCAAAATGAGCTTTGATTTGGACTCATTTAGGCTTGGATTGAGTCTAATTTGGTGTCGTTGGGTTCATATTTTCGAGACATTCAGTTTGACTATAAATTTGCTGAAATTTGAGTTCAGATGGTCTCCGATTTAATTTTCAAAGTTTTCAACTTGATTTTATTGGGCATGAATCTCGAGGGAAAATCAAGATGAAAACTTCAAAAATTAAATTGGAGACCATCCGAACTTAGATTTTAGCAAATTTATAGTCGAGCTGAACGTCTCGAAAATACAAATCCAACGACACCAAATTTGACTCAATCCGAGCCCAAAGGAGTCTGAATCAAAGACCTGAAGCACATTTGGAAGGTTCAAACCATAAGTTGGATTACTAAACGTTTTCCAAACGTGACATGCTTATAGTCGAATCGAGCGGCTCTACGAGAAGAATCCAACGAGCCCAAGATTGCAAAATTCTGATATCATTAAGACAAATACTGGTATCTTATTATATATTTATTAAAAAGTTATTAAAATTTATATTTTTTTTTAATTAAGAAACTGGTTAATATACATCCGGTTTCTTTTGATTTTTTTTTGAAACTGGAATTTTGTTATCCAATTTCTTAAGAAACTGGATTTCTATGATCCGGTTTTGCTCCTTTTTATTTTTTTTTTCAAACATTATTCATCTGCGTATTTATATATTAAACAAGCACCTTTTTATAATTTGGCCTTTTTTCATTGATGTCTAGTTGCAACTTCTTTGGTGTGTTTCATTCTACTACAACTGAGCAGGGTAAGTATTAGGCGTCTCTGAAATTATTGGATTGTTACATTTTAGATAGCTGTCAGAGACTAGCTGTGTTTCTGGAAGGATTCCCTGTGTAGCGCGGGCTTGCTTCCTGCATACACCGCTAAGAGCATCTCCAACTGAAAATCTCATTTTTCACTCTAAAATGCCATGAAACTAAAAAATGCCGTGATTCATCTCCGATGGAACTCCATTTTCCCCCTTTTGCAAGTAATGGTCGTCTATTCTTTTGCGTAGAAGTTCGGTAGAGACATAAAAATGACGGAGATCAACAGTGTAATGCCAATATTGGCGTCCCACTGTTCACCCGCAGCCAAATAGCGGAAGTTTTATCGTTCGGCTGAATCTGGCGAGGGATGCCATTCAAGCGTTTGGAGTTCGGTTGGAGATGCCCTAAGGGCAAGTCAAAATCAAGGAATGGTTCCCCCAAGTAGATATTCCAATGCGTAAGTGAATGAGCTTGAAGGAATGATAAACAACTTAGATAAACTTAGAATAATCTCCTTTAGTATGATAAATAAATTTTTTTCTTTTCCCCATTTGATATTTTTGGGCATTCAAGTGAAGGTCCTTTTGATACCTTGACAAAACTTGCGGCGGATTAATAATCTGCATTCAAGAACCATGTTGGATTAAAATACCTGGCATTTTGGTCTTCTAGTATATAGTAGGGTGGAGAAACAAGGCTTAATATATTTAAAATGCTAAATTATAAAGCCCTTGACAATGATGGATCAATCAATGGTGGCAACATATTTCAAAATTAGTATCATTAGGTATCTGAATTGGAAAGTTGGATTTATGTTTGATTCTGTGGTTGTTGCCAATGAAGTTTTATGGAAGGTTTACATTAATCAAATGACTATGAATAATCTGGATCATTTGAGTAAGAATAATGACAACTTTGATCAAATGACTATGAATAATCTGGAGTTATTTTAGATGAACATACATGTTTCCACTTTTTTAGATTATTTTGCTATAAGTTTAAAAATACTTTTTTTACCATCTTAAATAAATATTTTCCTGTTGTAATAAATCATTTTTGCAAGTTCGGACAAAATTTTAATGCGACTCTTCTATCAGATCTTCTGCAAAATGTCAAAAAATACTCACCTCAAATAATCATTCATTATTGTAATAAATCTTTTTTGTAATGTTGGAGGCAATTTGATTGCTATTTTTTAAAAAGCAATGGTCAACCATTTAGAACTTTGAGCTACAATCATTTTGAGAACATTGAATATAGACATACTTTTAGGATTGCAAACTAAGTGACCCTAAAGTGACCCAATTGCTTTTTTAATTTGCTTGGTCAAATTTAGAACTGATCATATAAAATTTGTTATAAGTTTATTAGTTTGAAATTGAAATAGGGGTAATGATGAAGTTAACCCATTAATTGTTCCATTACAGAATATCATTAAAGCTGATTGTTAAATTAATTGATGATCTCAACATGAAGTCGATTTAATTTTGAATCAAATTTAACATCATAGTTGCGAATGAAGCCAAAAATCTTCTTTGATCATTAAAAATTTGTTCAACAAGGTTTGATATAGGCCTTCCCTAAGCACTTGCAACTCAAGGGGATCTTTAGGGCTCAATTGAGCAGGCCATACTAGTAGCCCATGCATCGCTTGTGAACTGTGCAACGTTGTATGGGGCCTAGGCTCACAACATAGGCCTTGACCAACAAAACTGGGCTTATTATCACCTAAATTGAAACAATAACTTGCCTCTACCTTTGGAGGTAGTTTGTATGCTAAAGGCATCACAATCTGCTTATAGGAGGAGGTATTTTTCAACCAAGCTATTTGCAGGAGTCATGGAGGGTTTTTATTATTTTAACCCTTTTTATTTATTAATTTTTATTTTTTATGATCTATGAGGGGTTTATAGCTATCCCCTCCTCGTCCATAAATATCTCCTCCCCCTCATTTTTTCCCAAGACATTCAACAACACCTATCGATTCCATGTTACTTGCTCATGTGAGGACACTTAGGAAATGCTAATGGTGTTAGTAGATGAAGTTTAAGCCTTGTCTTTGCCTCCATTGCTTGTTTCGAGGCTCTTAGGGAGTGCTATTTATTTGAGGAAAGAATTAAGACCTTTAGCCTCTGTCCCTCTCACTACATTTGAGTACTTGGAAGATAACATTTTGACTGAAAGCCAACATTGTGCTTCTTATGGGAAATTGGGAACTAATATGGCGCTTGAAGGCATAATTGCATGCCTTTAACCTTCTTGTTCCTATGGAAAATGGTTTTAGTGTGCTCAAAGGCTAGAGTCCAAGTGATGAAGGTTAGACAAATTATAGTGTGTCAAGTTTGCAAACTTTTGTAATTTTTAGTTTATGTTTTACTTTTAGTTAATGATTCCTTTTTTGCACTGTCTCTTTGTAGAGTGTCCTAAAATTTGGTAGTTAGAGCTTTCATTAATGTCCTTAGGAATTTGGAGGTTTTTGTACATGAATTATGGAGGGATACCCTTTTTTCCTTTGTGACCATGTAGCCTTCATCAAAGTCATTTGCTCCATCATGTTTTCTAATACCCTTTCAATTTTAACAAATTTAGCATTCTTCTCATTTGGTATATTACTATCTCTTGCATTATGACTTGTTCTTCTACCCTTTTAGACTCTATATCATTAGTGGTTATTTGAGTTTTTACCATCCGCCAATATAGGCTACTCACTTTTAATTTTTTTGTCCAAGAATTGTGCTTTAATGCAAGAGTAATCCAAAACTGCTAAGTTGGAGCTGGGAGGTTCTCGAGAAAAAGTCAACCATGTGCTTGATGGTGGCAGACGGTGGACGAAGAGAAGGTTTTGAGTTGAGGCCAAGAGGTGGTGAAGTGGGGAATATTTGTGGAATTGTAGGAGGGAGAGGGCTCGAAAAGGGCTCTTGGATGGTTATGCTGAGAGGTTAGAAGGCATATTAGGGTTAGGTTTAATATGGAGGAAAGTATGGAGGGTGGTGGTGGTGAAATTTTTGGATTTAGGATTTGTTGTTGTAGTGAACTTTAGAGGAGTTAGGTGGAGTGCTTAATGAGGAAGGGTGGGTGAAGAGTAGGCTGAGAACTCTTAGATTAAGGAGAGAGTTGGAGTGTCGAGTATGGTTGCGGAGCTGTGCAAAAGATCAAGAACTTAATGTAGTGAGGGATAAAAACACAAAGATAAAACTTTGAGCTCACCAACATCTAAGGGTTTGGATTGGTCACTAAGCTTCTCTAGGAGATTGCACACAAGAAAAAGTTCAATATTCATTTAAAAAAAAAAAAAAAACATATATGATATGTTTGCATAAAGAACAAAGAAAAAGACATCAATTCCTTGCATGCGATTTCAATCCATCCAAAATAGAAGGACATATTCC